AATGTATGACGACGAGTGGGAGCAACAGACGCATGGCGATGTGCTAGACATGTTAACAAGATTACAAAACTTCGCAATAAACAAAGACTCCAGCTACTTGACAGATATCCAAAATTTCATAATTCGAACGAACAAAATCGTTGAAAAAAGATGTTCTTTAAAGCGGTGAAAACTTGATGATTTTTTTACATCGTAATTTGATTCATTGACTTAACAGCAAAATCAACTGTCTGCATAAATTATAATAATTACATGTAGCTCACGTGAACTTACGTTGTGATGTCATTCAAAATGGACGCCTTCAGTTACGATACGCGATACTTACCCGGTCTGTTCCAACAGTTATTTTAATGTTTATTGATTTCATGTACATACCATAATATTCTTGTCTTGTTTGGTAAATTATTTTATTGAAACAATACAATAAATGTAAATACATGTATAATCACCGGAGGCAAACTCCGGTGTCTTTCATTTGTCCCGTGTTTACAGCACATGTAATTGTTGTTTCAATCGAAGTTATGCCCACCCTGAATAAACCGACTCCCTCTGAAAACCGACCATAGATCCCAGTCCCAGTCATGGTCGGTTTTGACAGGTTTTACTGTATAACGAATATATAAAATTTGAATATTTGAATCAGTCAAAGCATTTAAGAGATATGGCTCTAGGAGCCCAATCATTGAAACAAAAATATACCAAGTTTGAACAAAATCCATCTGTAAACATCCGCGAAATGATTTTGATGATTTTTAGCACAAAAATGGCCGCCATTCGGCCATCTTGAATCAGATCGTGAAACAAATTGACGTGCATATGTATAATATCATGTATGATGTATGTGTGAAGTTTGATTGTGATTAGTCCAGGCATTTCTAAGATACAGGTTTTCGGACTGCGTCCGAACAAGACTAATAAAAAGACACTAACCAAGGCAGCCAATATCTCCATCCAACTGAATGTAATTGAGATTGAATTTGGATGCTTCAACCTCCCTTTCATCTTCTTGTGACCAATCTCTAAAACTAAAAACTTCTTTTTGTCTAAATGCTGCATTGTCATCAAAATTAAACTTGGCATCCATACAGTACACTGAAATAAATGGAAAAAATAATAGACAACCTTAAACAGAACAGCGATTACTTATACATGTACTGCATGTTATAATTACTGAAACGCAACATTTTTAATTTATGATAAACTATAATCAAATTTGGCCTACAGTATATAGGGTATCAAATAACAATATTAAAAAAAATATATGTGACATCCATATTGTATTTTTCAACTGTGTATATACATGTATATATGCACAACTAATGACAACATTAGGAAAGCTTTACCTTTGCCTTGGCTATCCTCTGTCATTGGGTTGATTTCAATCATAGTGGCATCACGACTTATGAACACATCATAAAGTTTCATAAAGCTATCAGCAGCCTGAATGCAAAGGGAGTTAAAGTAAATTGTCATGATTGAGAAATGCCCGAGAGCTTCAATCGGTATCTTTCTATTGAAGGGGTTGTAAGGTAAGTACGGCTGAACGTAGTAACACTCATGTGGGCTTTTTTTCAGGCAAGATAGTGAATGAGAACACAACTGGCTGGCTATGGTGTCTATACAGCATTCAAAAATGCATGTACTTGCATATAATGCTAGTAGTAAGTAGAAGACTAAATAAATTTTATGATCATGCACAACAGAATAAAGGCATACTAGAAGAAGCAAAAACATACAAAAAATCTAAAAGTAGTAGGTTTAGACTGAGCAACAAGAAACTATGGAATATAAAACAAACTTCTTTAAAATTGTCACATTTAACCCCAGTTCCATAAACCTATTTCTGGATGAACCATGAAGCAGTGAGTGCAAGGAATTATAATATCAAAAACAGGACAGCTATTGTAAATAGAGATCACAAATTTGTACTCACATGTTCCTGACTCTTTGTTGAGAAACCTACTTTTTCAGCAATCATCAAGGCATCTTCTTTTGATAAACCTAAGCGCCAAACACAAAGTTATTTTAGGAATACTATAATTTTCACAGCTAATGAAACAGTGTTATACATGTACATATACATGTACATACACCAACTGTTGAATGTACAATAGTATGAAACATCATGATGTGATCATGCAATTTTGATTACATGACCCTCCAAAAAATATTGTATGACAATTAACATAGGTTAAAAAAAGTCATTTTTAATGACATAGTCCCTGTTGGAATTAGAAGAAGTGTTATTCATGTCAGAAATAAAGTAATGTGCACCAACAGCATAGTTAATAATTTAGAGTGAATAATTGGCTGGTCTAGTATCAACAGAAATCAAATATATAGAATGACTCTTCTAAAATTGTAATATATGGTCAGAAATTAAACAGGATATGTTATTCATGCATTTTTCTTTTATCCAAACTGAATTTGTTCAGGCTCATGTACAGAGATACAAACATAAAACGAATCATCATGGACATGTATCTCAACATGTATAACGTTTATATCAAATTTGAAAACCACCAAATTTTGTCCAAGATACCACATTTTTGAAAAACAAGATAGATGCCAGTCAGCCATCTTTGATCTGATTATGGAATGTATTCCTATATGTATGATGTATGTGCCAAATATGATTGAAAATGGTTCCTAAGCCTTTGAGATATAGTACTGTATGATCAAAAAGCAAGATGGCCGCCAGATCTTTGAACTGATTGTAAAACAAGGGGACACGTAATCTACAATGTACAATGTATGTACCAAATTTGAACAAAAAATGACAAAGCATGCATAAGAAACCACATCAAAATGGCTAAAGTCAGCCGTCTTTGATCTGATCATGAAATAAATCGTCGTAAAATATATCCTAACATGTATAATGTATGTACCAAATTTGAACAAAAACTGGCAAAGCATGCCTAAGATACCATATTTTCAAAACAAAATGGCTGCCAGTCAGGCAATGTTGATCCGCAAAACGAATTGTCAAAAAACAAAATGGCTGCCAGTCAGTGCATGTGCACATGTTCCAGATAGACTACTAAGGCACGACAAAGAATGAACGAATTCTGAAATATGACTCCAGATGGACAGGGACTAATTAAAGTGTTGGATACCTTGTGTTACGTCAATCGGATGAGTAACAATAGCCTCAGGGTGATCTCGAGCTACTTCCTCAATGTTGACTCCACCTTGTGAGCTGGCAATGATCACAGGACCCTAGGGTAAGGTAAATTAGAGAAAGTTGCTTCAGTGGAGAGACTACCATAATTCTAGTTTGAAGTCATCTTAGCCTTATCCTGATAAACTTGCTATATATCATTATATGGAAAACATTTATACTCTATGGGTCTCACAGTCAATCATATAAAGCTTTAGATCACTATGGATAAATCCTGAATTACTGTCAGACGTGATGTAAGCAATGGGCGAGGGTAGGACAAACATATAAAGTCAAAAGCGCACCGGTAGACATGAAACATGAAAGTCAGTAGCATATTTTAAACAGTTTTTTAATATAGCGGAGTGCGTATGGGTGGGTACAAACAAGGG